GTCCTACAAACAGTGTCTTACAGTCTGTGTCCTACCGTGTCCAACAGATTGAGAGAGGACGCTGGCGCTGCATGTTCGCCGCTTCTCCGTGCTAAAAAGTCATTATACTGTTGCTATATTCGTGGACATTTATCTGGACTTATTTTTGTTCAGTAATTTCTCAATCAGTACTTATAACAGACAGCTTAATTAGCACTCCCTAACAGGAATTTGGGACTATTGCTGTCAACATACAACTCCAGCACGGCAGCTCGGACTTTGCTTGAAGAACTAGCAACTATTATTGTTGCGCTTACCTTGCTGCTTCTGTCAACCTCCTGTGTCATCTGGATTTTTCCAGTTTGTCATCTTTTGCTGGATTTTTTCCTGTGCTATGCTGTGGATTACATCGCACTGCCTTTTGGATATCCTTTTCGGAGCTGTGGTTCTGCTGTTAGCGGCTAGCTCTGTGCTAGCTTCCCCCGGCTTGGCTGGCTCGTCGATGTTGACCTACTCCGCCTCCCAGCTGATTGGACTCAACAACTGCTCCATTCCACCTTCTGTTTCTACCATTAAAAAACTGGGCCTTCTGCGTAGACCTCGTTATGTCCATAGAGGCTCTCGGAAGAGAACTGTTTACTCTCGGCAAGCTGGGTCTGACTCCATCCCTTCCATCTGGTCTACCGGTCCTGCCGCACATCGATTACGTCATCGGAACACTGCCTCTGTAGTCCCTGATATTGCTGAAAGAACACAGCGCACGAAGTGGCAAGGAAAACGTGGAGTGGACTTCAGGCTGCTTAAACCCCTTCTAAAGGCTTCTACTCCAACCAGTATTAAAATAGAACTTTTCAATGCTCAATCACTATCCAATAAATCATGTCTTGTTCATGATCATATTCTGGAGAAGAATTTGGACCTCATGTGCCTTACTGAAACATGGCATCAACCAGATGTGTACAGCTCTCTGAATGAAGCCTGTCCCTCTGGATACAGTTACCTGCAGAAAGCCCGCTGCACTGGCCGTGGTGGTGGTCTGGCTGTAATTTACCGCAGTCATTTAAAATGATCACATTTAGCTTCTCAGGGCTTTTCCTCTTTTGAATGTTTGGCCTTCAACCTCAAAGCCCCCCTCCTGATGAATGTTATATTGATTTATCGGCCTCCCAAACCACATGTTTCATTTAACTTAGAGATGCATGACCTCCTCACTTTTTTCTGCGCATCTCCTGTGAAAAATATTATTCTTGGAGATTTAAATATCCACATTGATAATTCCTCTTCCCCTCTGGCAGCAGAGTTTAAGTCTCTTTTGGACTCTCAATCTCACTCAGTATGTTGACGCCCCTACGCACAACAGGGGGCACACTCTGGATTTGGTGATTACAGACACTGTACCTATCAATAACTTATCTGTATATGACCTGGGTGTCTCAGACCACAGTGTCATCTCCCTGGAAGTGCCTTCAACTTCATCTGCTCCTAATCCTAAACGACTTATCCAGTTCCGTGACTTTAAAAACATTTCCCCTGAGGTTCTGTCCTCTGATCTCCACTCCCTGACTGCTGTCAATCACTCATCTGCAAATGACTCTGTGGATTACTACAACCAATCTCTCCAGGAGCTTCTGGACCTCCATGCTCCCTTTAAAGCAAGGCTGGTGTCTTTCTCCCGTTCAGCCCCTTGGTCCACTGCTGAGCTGCGCAGGATGAAAGCAGCTGGCCGTGCTATTGAGAGACGTGTAAAATCATCTGGTCTCTCTGTACATCAGCAGGCATCTAAAGAACATCAGAAAGCCTACGCCTTTTCTCTTAAAGAAGCACGGTCCAAATAATATTCCAACATCATCAACAACTGCCCTGGAAACTCTAAACAACTCTTCTCCACAATAAATCTTCTCCTTAATCCCATTAAACAATCTCATGAGGACTCTGTTCAAAAATGCAACCTGTTCCTTTCATTTTTTAAAACAAAGTTAACTCCATTAGATCTCAGCTCCATAGCCTCCCTGATCTTCATCTGCCATCTACCCGTCTGCATTCTGGGTCCCTGAGCTGCTTTGATGAGGTTGTTCTGAGTGAAGTAGAGACCATCATCATGAAAATGAAGCCTTCATCCTGCGCCCTGGATCCCTTCCCCTCGTCTCTCATTAAATCCAATCACTCTGCAATAAGCCCATTAATCACACAAATAATAAACAAGTCACTGCAATCTGGTCAAGTTCCACTGCCTCTTAAAACTGCCATCATTAGGCCTCTTCTGAAAAAATCTAATTTGGATCCAGACATTCTTTCTAATTACCGCCCAATTTCTCACCTCCCATTTCTGTCCAAAGTTCTGGAAAAAGCAGTTGCTGCTCAGCTGCAGATCCACCTACAACAACACTCCCTGTATGAGAAGTTTCAGTCTGGCTTCCGTGCAGCTCACAGTACTGAGACCGCACTGCTGAGAGTCACCAATGATGTCCTCATGGCTGCTGACACTGGTTCTCCCTCCCTCCTTGTTCTCCTTGACCTCACTGCAGCTTTCGACACTGTGGACCATAGTATCCTCCTCCACCTTCTTCATGTGGAGGTCGGTCTCTGTGACACTGCCCTGGACTGGTTTAAATCTTTCCTCTCCAATAGGCTGGAATGTGTTAGTCTTGGCAATGCCAAGTCCCAGACTGTCTGTGTCTCCTGTGGTGTCCCTCAAGGGTCAGTTTTAGGGCCCCTGCTATTTTCCCTTTACATGCTGCCTTTAGGTCAAATTATTAATCAGTACAACATTTCTTTTCACTGTTATGCCGACGATACACAGCTTTACATCAGGACCGGAGCATCATCTTCACCACTGTCATCTCCATCTTCACTCGCTGCCCTCTCTACCTGTCTGGAGGAGATAAGGGCATGGATGAATCAGAACTTTCTTCAGTTCAACTGCTCCAAAACAGAGGCCATACTGATTGGCACCCCTCACCAGGTTCAAACTTCAACTATAACGACTATTTCATTTTCTGGACAAGACATCCCCCTCTCCACCACCTCTGTTACAAATCTTGGAATAAAAATGGACTCTCATCTTACATTTGAAAATCACATTAAGCATCTGTTTAAAACCTGTTTCTTCCATCTTCAAAATATCTCCAAACTTCACCCAGCTCTCACTTTTGCTGATGCAGAGAAACTCGTCCATGCCTTTGTTTCCTCCAGGCTCGACTACTGCAACTCCCTGTTTACTGGAATACCCGGCAAAAACCTTCAGAAGCTTCAATATATTCAAAACAGTGCAGCCAGGATTTTATTGAGAGCTCGTAAATTTGAACATATTACACCCATTCTCCATAACCTCCACTGGCTTCCTGTCACCTACAGAATTCAGTACAGAATTGCTCTCATCACCATCAGTGTTTATACAGAAATTCACCAGATTATCTGAAGGACCTTCTTGCTCCATATTCATCCACCCGGTCCCTACGACCACAGAACAGTCATCTCCTCCACCTTCCACAAACTAAATTAAGAACCATGGGAGATCGGGCATTCTGTGTGGCTGCCCCCCACCTCTGGAACTCCCTCCCTGAATATCTGAGAGCTCCACAATCATTGACTGACTTTAAAAAAGGCTTAAAGACTTTTCTTTTTAAGCAAGCCTATTCTGCCTCAACATGATTGTATCATTGATTTTAGTTGCATTCTGTAGCACTTTGAGATTTTTGTTAATAAAAAGTGCATTACAAATTAAATTCATTATTATTATTATTATCCATCCATCCATTTTCTTTACCCGTTTATTCCATTTTGGGTCACGGGGGTCACTGGTGCCCATGTCCAGCAATCACTGTGCGAGGGGCGGGGTACACCCTGGACGGGTCTCCAGTCCATCACAGGGACACATAGAGACAAACGAGACAAACAACCATTCTCTCTCTCTCTCACCTAGGGACAATTTAGAGTTACCAGTCAGCCTAACATGCATGTTTTTGGTCTGTGGGAGGAAACTGGAGCACCCGGAGAAAACCCATGCATGCACGGAGAGAACATGCAAACTCCACCCAGAAAGACCCCTGGACTGGGGTTTGAACCAGGGACCTGCTCGCTGAGAGGCAGCAGCTCTACCAGTTGCGCCACCGTGCTGCCTATTATTATTATTATTATTATTATTATTATTATTATTATTATTATTA